AAAAGAGAGTGTGCTATAGTCACTACGAATTTGTTGTGGCAAAGATCTCTTAATCCTGAGGAGTATCCTTGAGAGAGCTCAATGGGRTCTTGACCTGTCCCCATATTTATGGGATACGATGATTGACTTATAGTCAGTCTTGCATTTCAGAATGACTTTTGGCTGATGTATGCATAATTAGCCTTATCTCCCCATCAGGATGCAGCCATCAGGACTGTTAYTGATGGTTAATGTCTGAGTGGGGGAAGAAATCAGGGAGGCAACTACCAGGATCAGATAATGTCACCTGAATAGGGTTGCGTGTGAAAAGTCAGGTTGAGTTGGGGAAGGAGCACATCCGTCACAGGTGATAACACAGGAGTGTCAMTGACCGGAGAAGATGATGTGGTCAAGATGTACCTAAAAGGTAAAACCTCAGGAGGGGAATGTGAGTTGCTTTTCCTTTCACCGAAATGGAGAGGACTCTTAGGGTTTGGCTAAGTTGGAAGTTTAATGAGAAGTGTAGATTTTTGCAGAATATAGCAGATTTTTCTTGACTGAAAACAACTGAAGCTGCTGACCCTCACTCGAAAGTAACAGATTGCTAACATGGAAATGCTCCTGCTCCACTCGTTCTCTTGTTCTCTTGATTAAGTCACTTCCTTAGACAGCTAGAGTCTCCCATGGTGCATGACAGCCAAGGAGTCGCTAAATGCAATATGTTTTACCCAGCAAATGGGAAAAACAGAACAGAAAGCTTGATAATTTTGGAAATAAAAAATAACCTTTTCAATGCCTTTTTCACCAGTGACATCTTTTTATTTAAGAAAAAAAATTTAGTCTGAGAGTTTTGGGTTTTTTTTTTTTTTTTTTTGACTAAACTTTGCTTATTCATCAAGTTGACCTAAGGTGAAGAAACTTGAAAATTCAGCATGTTATTTAGTCCTACGTTTTGTCTCAGAAGAGGCAGCTCATTGGCATGCTGGTCTTGTTTTCTGTTCTGCTTTGTTACCAACTCTGCATAATACCACAAGGTGCAAGTTCTTTGTCTTGTTGAACTGCAGACCACTTTTGTGCTTGAGAATTTTTATTTCTAACCAGGGTTCGACTATATTCTAAAATATGCTGCTTTTTACATTTAAGAGCTATAGTTCAAATAGAAATGCTTGTTCTTTACCAAGTATGCCAGCACTTGCAAAAGAGCTGTGATAGGAGAGGTTTGCACTTCTGTTCATCTCACAGGAGGTTCAGCTGACTTTTTCTGGACACTCTGTTACCCAAAATGACCTTATTACATTGCAGTAATAGGAGAGTTTTTGCATTCTAAGCAGAATGCGGGACGACATGACTAATTGTGTTGATAGATTGGCGTAATGCTGACCACAAAATAATAATTTCCTTTGACACTGGGATGCCTGTTAAATAGGTGAATGATGGGGTAAAAATCATTCAAGGGCAAAGGAGAGGTACAATGAAAGCAACATTTTTTTTTTTACTTAAATATTTAAGGCAATGCAATAGAGCTTAATACATTTTATTGCCTTTCCTGTGCCAGCTGTCTTGCTTTTCTGTGGAGATTTTGAACCGCAGGTTCTGCTTTCATAACTTTCTGTGGATTGTGGTTGCCAAACTGCAACAAGGTCGACTGGCAGTGTAAGGGTACCTCAGTACCCTGATGTGTTGTGAATCTGTTATTTTCAAATAAATAGATGCTCACCATGCAAACTAGATTAGAATCTGGTCCTGATTTTGAACAGCAAGTTTCAAATGGGAAGTTAAGGTCATCTTATCTTGTTAGGGAATAAATGGGCACACAGTGTCTCATGTTTTCACTGTATGTGGTGTGGAAGAGTGAAACCCCAGTAGGCTTTGAGGTTGACATACAGAAACTGTAACCAACTTTGCTGATGACAGACTTGGAATTCATTTCAAATTTGAAAGCTGTAGATTACACTTCTCAGTGATTCCATTAAAAAGAGCATCAAAACATACAAGTTGAATGTTCACCTTACTGGCAAGCAAATTCAATCTCAAGTTTGTCTTATTCTTTCAAACAGCCCTCATGGTAAATAAATAAATAAATAAATAAATAAATAAATAATCCTCTTTCCATTGTTTGGAAAGCCCATTGAACTGGGCTTTGATTGCTGTGACAGTAGTTTATGTTCATGTTTTTGAATAGTCACAAAAAAATTAGAAATTAAAAAGCAGCAGAGCTCTTGGTGACATATTTAGGACTTAAGTAAGTGGTGAAGCATGAAAGGGCAGTTGAGGTTGGAAGGACAGCCCTTGATGGTTGTCTCGCATTCACCTCTTCTGCAGACTTGCTCTCCAGCACTTGGCTGGAGAACCAGGGATTGCTAGAGCAAGATCACCCATCTGATGGATTAGGTGCCTTCCTGTAATGCCAAGGTGTTGCCAGTGTTTCGAYCTGGATAACCACTCAAACTGCAAAGCTCATGTAATGCTTAGGATCGAAAGCAGAAGTCTGTTAGACTCTCTCCACTAGCTTCGTTTTCATTTTGGTCCCTCCATTCTCTTTTGTAAGCCCCAAAATGGGGCAGATTCTCCTCCACTGGGATCATTATTAATTCCATACTTTGTTTCTTGAAGATATCAAAATTTTATATTGGTTAATACCACTTCACCAAAATGGGACCTACTGCTACTTAAAAGCATCATTTTTAGTGTGATGCTTACAAATCGCCTATGGCCAGGAACTGTTTCATCTTATTAAACACAGAGTTATGTCTTTTTTTTTTTTTTTTTTTTGATAGTTACATATTTCTGAATTGCTTATGTTTTAAGTTATATAGTAGAAGGATGATGCTTATATTGTTTGTACAGTGCATTACAAAATAGGGTCTGGATTTTTGCTTGTGTTGCCTCGTGCCCTTTAGAATGGTAGACATTTCCTACCTTATCTTGATTTCATAAATGTTCTACTTTCCACTGAAAGTTTCACATTTGTTGACTAGCTTTATTTTTTATTTGTTGACTAGCTTCTGCAGTGCATTAGCTGCCTCTGTCTCATCTAAAATAACAATTAAAGACCAAGTTGAAAAGGATGTCCTAATTTTCTTTTATTTATCCCGCTTCGTGAGACAATTTTCCTTTGATTTGTGAAGATATGCTGAGAAGTTGACAAGCTTATTTTCTAATGCAAATTGGGAGTCCTTCAGTGAGACTCTCTGTTTTTGATGCACGGGCTCCCTCCTCTGGTGTGGGAGGTGTATGACACCATCCTGCTACAAGTTTGCTTGAAGCAGAAGTTGAGTTATTTGCAAATTCCTTGCAAAAGCAGAATGCTCTGATGGGGACACAGTGGGTGAGGATGTCACTTACCTCCTCGTTCTTTGGTCACCCACCTGTGTTCTCCCGAATAGCAGTCATGGAACAAAGACTGGAACTGAGAAGAACCAGGGTCACAGGGCCCAGCCCTTGCTATTCAGCTGCTGATCAGCTCATGCTTCACAATRTGGAAAGCAATGTTTTGCAAGTAAAATTTATGAATAAAATCAACGAACTTGTATGTCCAAATAACCCCGTGAAGTTATTGTCTGCCTGATTGAATGCTGTCAYCTTTGTGACACAGCTTTAGTTAAAACAAGCTTTAATAATAATAGTACATTAATGTTTAATAATAGTAATAAAGAMGCTTTAATTTGTAGACAAGAGCAGAACCTTAAGTAGTTTAACAAGTGCCACCTATGTTCTCGCGAGTGCCTTCCTTTAATGCTCTCACTGCATAGATTTATGGCAGCAGACACAATAGGGCACAGCTCCAATGACACAGAGTATAACTCGTGCAACCTGCACTGAATTTGCACAAATCTCTGCATATTGGAGCAAACAACTTAAAATTAACTTGATGCCCGTTTAGTACGTGGTGCAAAAGACTGTGCACTGTCACTGTGACCTGAGCTGCCCAGATCCAAATCATAACCTSCAGTTCTGGTAGGAGTTAGGGGGCTTTTATACATTTAGGGCAGTGCAAAATTGACATCAAACTGGTGTGCAATGTTTTCACTTTAARGTATCAGCTTTTTATTACAGGGCCTGAATTTATGACAGATATTGAAAACAATCCTTAGATTTTTCATTCATATTAGAAATAGCCTGAAAATTAGTAACAAGGAAGATCTCCATGTTGAAATATCAAATTTCACAAGTCATTCAGAAGTCTGTTTCTGGAGTTACTATTTTAGGTGCTCCTTACACCTTCACTTAAAGCGAGTGTTGACGTTGTGTCTATTGAAGCAAGAACAATTTTGGGAGAATTAATTATAGCAGCTCTCAATTTATTTCTTGCTCATGCCAAAGACACCGAGGGGTGACCTTTCTGTGTGTGCATAAGATGCACATGAGAAATGTTAAGCACTGTGCTGCTGAGTGATAGTGTGAAAGAAACTACCCTCATAGAAACAAAACATAATGCAGGAGTCAATGCAGTTCCTTTCTAAAAGTTTTGTGGTTTTGTGTACTACCTCCATTTAAAATAAAATTGTTCATTGTATATTCTTGTCCATGGTCTGCTCTTGGTCATCTCCTTCACCATCGCAGTAAATCTTCTGCCCTAACATCTGTTAGGTGTCTGTTCAGCTTATGTAAGCTTACAAGGATCTAAGTGATCTCTGAGTTCAAAAATCTGGCCTCCGAGAGCATCAGCATTCTGTGATGTACGAGTAGGTGACACTTGTCAGTGGAAAGTAGCTTTACTGTGTGTGGGTTAAATTGGCCATCTGATTTCCTGACAGGAGCAGAGCCCTGTTTATGTGCTTTGCTGGCCCCACCAGCATCTTGCTTTGTGACCCTGGCAATCCTTTGGCCTTTCAGCACTTTCACTCCTTGCCCTTCTGCCATAAGTAAGCATATTTAAGGTTCGGATCATAACGTGCAATGAGCTACTTGAAGGAATAGTGTGGTTTTTATGCATATGCTATGAATTGTCAAGTATTTTCTATTAAAATAATATTTTTTCCTTTTTCTTTTCTTTCTTTTTTTTTCCTTTTTGTGCACAGGTCCTTGGAACACCAAATGAAGATACCTGGCCTGGTGTCCACTCTTTACCCCATTTCAAACCAGGTAAGCCTAAGTACCAAGTTCATCCAAATTCTCCTCTCCCTGGAAGCACAGGGCACAGATTTAATTACCATGGCTGCAGGCTGGGAACTGGCTTGTGAAGACAACCTGTGTTATTTTTGGCAGCTCCTAATTTATTAATGAACCTCTGCAGTGCTGCTTGAAAATGATCCAGGAAGCTCTGCACAATGCACTTATTCAAACAGCTCACTTTTTATGCACTCTGTGTGTATTCTTTTTTTTTTTTTT